TACAACTTTTGTTTACTGGAAGGCTTGCTCTCCAGTTTTGTGTTGCTAAGCGGTATCCAAGCACGTGACCACTAGCTGCAAAGGGCCTATTGCTACTGGTTTAAGGAGTTCTTTAGAAAGCGATGAAAATTAGCTGTATTTTTGTAATCCGTTCAGTGTCAATTTGAGAAGATATAGACGTTTAGTTAAGCGTATAAAAGAAAGCATTGCTTCCTGAATTGTCACACGGCGATTTGGACTAAAGAATTCGAGGTTTCTAGAGTGATTTCTAGGATTGAAGGCACGATGTTTTTGGTTGGTGTATTCGCCCTGGCTTTGATCGTCAAAGCTACTGGTGAAGAAGGTGAGCGATTCAGTTGAAAAGGGAGGCCATAAGAAAGGGATTTTTTTTATTAGAGCTCTTAAGTTTTTAAAAACATTTTAAACGCTTTAAAAAATATAAAATCGTTTCGTATTTTTTTCGACAAAGACGTTTTTTGTAATTTATAAAATCAATGTCCATCCCAAAGTTTCAAAATAATCATCAGTTTAGTTTTTAAAACACGGAGTTCATAGGTTTTTATGCCTAAGATTTCTTGATTAACTAGCAAGATTAATATTTAAAAAAATGATTTCGCGAACAATTTATTACAGATTTTAGCGCGATTGGTACAATTCAGAATTCGGTATTTTTTTCCTATTTGCTTCAATAGAACCATATTAAAAATTCCAGTCAATATTTGATTTAGGAAATGATAAGTAAAGAACTTCTGACGGATATTGATAGTGGGTGGGAAGTAGTTTTTGATAGTTTTCAGATCCGTTCGTCCAATTCCAACTCTGCAGGTTGGGCGTAATATATTCATTTTGAAACCAAAAGATTTTTCGTCATACAAAGGTTAAAGCTAAAAAATATACAGTCAATTCAAAAAACGTTGTCGTCGACTGGCTCAAGCCTACGCGACTGGTCCGAAAGGAATATGGGTAAAAATCACTGAAGCGGTTAAATATTCGTTCTGAATTAATTGTTCCCGCTAGAAATAAGATAATAATGGCGAGAAACAATCCATCAAATGCATGTCTTCGGGTTTAGGGAAAGAAAAACAAAGTAGTTATGATTCAGTTCACAATTCCGAAAGTATGAAGGCATTAAAAAAACGTCTCCTTCAACATTTCCCGCTCGCCTACGAAGGTTCGTGCTGTAAACCAGGCATAACTAGTCAAATAAAATTATGGAGTGAACTCGGCTTCAATGATTGCTACCCAGAGTTCCTTTCGGTCCAGTCGCGTAGACTTGAGTAGGTTGACGACAACATTTTTTGAATTGACTATAAACGAATTCGGTACTATAGAAAACGTATTTGTGAAAATCAAAATTGCGCATTATTTTAGATTTTGTAAGACCAAATCTTTTACTTGCTTGTCATACGAAAAATACCCTAATGAGCGTAGAGTTTATATTCTTTTAATGAAAAAAATGACCAGTTATAGCTGATTTGTGTTGACATGCTATACGTGATCATCTTAAACTCATAAACTTTAATATGGTTGGGCTATCTGGTACCAAAGTGTTAGCCTTAGAATGCTCTTTGTTGCCTATTGTTTGATATTGCCTTTAAACCCTATGCAGCCACCTTAAACTCTCTCTCTCTCTCTCTCTCTCTCT